GTGGGTTTTTTTTTCACTGATTTTGCGTCTAAATAAGTGAACAGATTCCAGCTGATCCATGTTTTATCATGTAAATACCTAATTTGAGCAAACTATCAACAAACAGTGGATTCAGGCTGAGAAACTTCCTCATTCTTAAAGAGAAAATGTCAATTCATGGTTTCTGGTGCACTCAGAACCACTGGAACCCAAAAACATCATCAGAGTGAGACTGCCATCTACTGGTTATGTTTTGCAACTGCTTCTTGTGTTAATTTATTAATCCACCGCTGTATTTTTTTAAAGAAAAAACTTTAAAGCTGAATAAACTATCTGTACAGCATTTTAGTTTTTTTTTTTTTTGATAAGCAGAAAGCACAGGCAAATGAAAATAATAATGACATTATGATTTTTATTATTTTTAATTGTTGTTGTTTTAAATCAAAGATGCATTAGTTTTCCATTAAAACTCATCTTCATTGGTCAGGCTTTTCTTTTTTTAATGTTTCCTACCATTCATTAAGAGCAGTTCCACTTTATGTTGGACAAGATGATGCAACTTGGTTATTAAGCAAACAGACTTTAGAACTTTAATTTAGTGTAAGAAAAAACATTTGTTTCATTTTGCAGCAAACACTGTTCCAGAATGATATTACAGAAGAAAACTGAATTTACATTGGTTTTATTTGCATCAAAAGACTAGTTTGGTGAGTCTATGCTTTTATTGTTATTATTAGTAGTAGTAGTATTAGTAGTAGTAGTATTAGTAGTAGTAGCAGCAGCAGGGTTAGGGTTAGGCACAACTGTCTAACCCTAACTTTTCAGTGTGGAGTTTAAATGTTGTGAGTTTTCTACGCTGGCTTCTTCTCACAATCAAAAACATGCACATACGCTTGTTGCAGACTCTAACTGTCATTTTGTCCTCACTCCAACTACCTCCATGTCCTCTCTAACTGCATCCATATATCTCCTCTTTGTCTTTTTCCTGGCAGCTGCATTTCTAACATCCTTCTACCAGTATACCCAGTGTCCCTCCTCTGGACATGTCCAAACCATCTCAGTCTGGCCTCTCTAACTTTTTCTCCCAGTTGGTCAACCTGTGCTGTACATCTGATGATCTCATTCCTAATCTTATCCATCCTTGTCATTCCTAAGGAGAACCTCAACACCTTCATTTCTGACACTTCCAGTTCTTTCTCCAGTCTTTTTGTACATGCCTCTGTCTCCAGACCATAAACTTTTCCTTTGATCTTTGCTGACACCCTTTTGTCACAAATCACTCCTGAAACTTTTCTCCATCCCCTCCATCCTGCCTGGACTCTCTTTTTCACCTCTTTACCACATTCACCGTTTTCCTGGACAGTGGACCCCAAGTACTTGAAGTCCTGCACCTTTGTGACCTCTGCTCCTTGTAGCCTCACTGTTCCACCAGCCTCCCTCTCATTCACACACATGTACTCTGTCTTACTACGGCTGACTTTCATTCCTCATCTTTCAAGTGCACACCTCCACCTCTCCAAGTTCTCTTCCACCTGTTCCCTGTTCTCACCACAGATCATATCATCTGCAAACATCATCGTCCATGGGGATTCCTGCCTGACCTCATCTGTTAGTCGGTCCATCATCAGAGCAAACAAGAAGGGTCTTAGACCTGATCCTTGATGCACTCCCACCTCCACCTTGAAGCTATTTGTCACTCCTACAGCACATCTCACCACTGTCCTGCTGTCCTCATATATTTCCTGTACCAGTCTAACATACTTCTCTGCCACTCCAGATATCCTCATACAATACCACACCTCTTCCCTCGGCCCCCTGTCATACACTTTTTCTAAATCTACAAAGACACAATGGAGTTCTTTCTGACCCTCTCTGTACTTCTCCATCAGCATCCTCAAAGCAAAGATGGTGTCTGTGGTGCTCTTTCTTGGCATGAAGAAACAAACCACACAACAAAAGACAAAATACAGTGAAAAAATGATTCTTATATCATTTTTAAAAACAGCCTTCTGGTGATAGTGTATTAACCATCTCTTCAGCAAGAATATCTTAGAGTGAAGCAAACTGACACACGTAAATAAAAAAAAACATTTATTGTTTAACTCATGTGAAAAAAGATCAGTTATGAAAGCCACAGAGCTGTGAAAAGCTGCAAAATCACCTTGATAAATAACTGAAAGGTAAACAAAAATCAGTGCTAAGGTCAAATGAATGAAAGCACGGGCTGCTGCATTCTCTCTGTTTTTATATCTGATTCACTTTGACGGTGACATTTTCCTCAAAGAGAGCAATACGCTGACCTTTCCTTGTGGCACTCAGTGCCACGTTTCCCAGTTTGAAATCTGTCAGCGTGACAGATCAGATAAAGCTCCTTGGTGGCCTCAAGACGGCTGCAGAAAGAGAAAAGGCAAAATAAAATAGTCCTGACTGTTTTGATTTATGACAAGTGACAGAATACAAAGTTAATACAGAACTTATGTCAGAACAAGAACTCTTTGAGTGAGAAAATCATTAGCAGTTGGTTTCATATCTATATTTCTCTCAAAAGCTGCTGTTTGCTGAGCTTTATATTCTGGCATGATTAAAAAAAATCAACATTTATATTAATCTTAATGAATTTTGTTCCATGACAAAAATAAGAAAACACAGTAAGCTTCTTCTTCTAAAATGTGTATATGTAACAGAGATAAAATGCAGTTTTAAGTGAATTTTATAGCAGAATAATTTTCTTGATTTTTTTTTATCATTAAGTCTTGTTCCCTCCCCTCCTTCCTTTCTTCCTGGGTGATCATATCTGGGTTAGCATCCATGTCATTTGACCTTGAGCATACAGTACCTGCTATGATACGCTGCTTGCAGTGAATTAGCCTCTGATGCTAATTACATAAATCAAACGTTTTATAATAGCGAACGATAACATTGTCAATAATATTTTTTTCATTTTTATTAACAAACGGACATGTTTTCTTAAGGTCACGCTTGTTCCTGTAAAATATTTGGGGTTTTGTAGTTATTTATTTCTATAATGCTACAGTATTGTAATGAGGCGTTTATATGTGAGCGTGAGAGCGTGTTTACATGAACTAATCTTAAAAACTCACGTGGTTTTATTACTGTTACCTTGGTAACAAGCAAACCCTCGCCCTTTTAGCTTGCTGGCAGTCGTGTGGACCGTACCACTTTGCAGTGGTAATGGGGTTTTTCAATAAAACATTTCATAGAGTATAACATTGTTTTACCAAAAACACGTTGTTAAAAATAAATTTTTAGTATAAATATTCATTTTTATTTTATTTTTTGGCTTGTTAAATGTAATAGTTACGTGCTGGGTAATTTTTCGTCCTTTGTCTTTTCGGCTTACCCCCGCGAAAATACGTCACCACATTAAAATGACGCCCGTACAGTAAGCTGTCAAAAAAGCTTGTTGCTTAAATCTTTTCGGGCCGACAAAGTGAAGGTTTAACTCTTCGAAAGGACGGGACTCGAACGGGTGGTTGAGGGGAGATTTCGGGAACACTTGACATCTTGTTTCGGTCAGTTCGGTCGCCGTGTCGTCCGTGTGTCCTCCTCCTAGCTGTTGCTGCGTGATAAACCGAAGAAGGCTGACGGTGAGGTAAGCAGATCCTCTCAACGCTAACCTAAGCTAATAACTATTAGCCTCAATGTTTCCCATAATGTTAAATGGTAACGTGCTATCTTTAGCTTGAAGCAACGTGGTGAGACAGAGGCCGGAATCCAGCGTGAAGATGTAAAAATCAGTGCTTTTTTTTTCTCGAAGTACTTATCAGTCTGTGACGTGTGGGGAAAGCCAGATGATTTAAACCATTTTGATAGAATCAAATTGACAAAACTGCAAATATTACTGTGGTATTCATATGTATGTACACAATCCTATTTATTTTACCTTACAAGATATGTATGATTTACAGATGTGCATTAAAAAGAGAAAGTACATTTTAAAAAGACAAAATAATAGAATTGCATTAAAATGTACAGCAGTAAAATTTTTTTTTTTTTTAAACAAATTAATACCTAAGAACTAATAAAATAAGCTCTCATCTTGACAGGAACACTGCAATAAATAATATTGTTTTCAGTCCTGATTTAAAGGAATAGGTTCTGCACATCTGAGGTTTTCAGGAAGCTGGATCCAGTGTTAAATAAACTAAATGCTGCCTCTCTCTTTGTTTGCTTCTGGTCCTGGGAGACTGAGAGAACTGGTCCCTAATGACATGAGTCTATACCAAGCCTGTAACTCTGAGATGTATTTAGACTAAAAGCCGTTTAGTGCCTTATAGCCAAATAATACTATTTTTAATATATCATTTTCCAAACAGGAAGCCAGTGCATTTACTTAAGGGCTACAGTAGTGTGATATGTTTCCTTTTCCTGGTTTTTGTCCAGACTGGTGGCAATACCAATTTTCTGGAATGCTCTTTAGTTTAAATACAATGTACTATACATACATATACATATATACACATACATATATACACATACATATAAACACATACATATACATAGTACATACATATACATACATATATACACACACACACACACACACACACACACACACACACACACACACACATACACACACACACACACACACACACACACACATAT